GGGATAATTCTATACTAGAAAAGGATCTGTCTAATTTCCTAATGCGATTGCATGAGAATGGCATTATTGGGCATTGGATAAATCGAACCCCTTATCTTTTTCGGAAAACACACGTTCACCTGCCTCGTCCGGCTCAAAAGCGAAATGAAACTCCCATAGGACTTGTTCATTTGAAATGGCTTTGGTGTGTTCTTGGTTTCGGATATGGATTGTCTATTATGGTATTTTTATTTGAGATTTTTATAGTGGGTAGGAAGAAGAAGCAAACCGGAGGCCAACTACCGATGGTGTAAGGTTACTTTATGATATCTGATATATATATTTATTTGCTATGCCTAAGAAAGTGAATGTAATCCTTAGTTTGGCTTTAAATTGGTTGTAAAACTTTAATAAATTTTGGAAAAATATAATCTACTTTCTAATAAATAAATCATTTAATAAAATAAAAACGACTATTATCACAAAAATGCAATTTTTGGCTTCTCTAAACTAAAGTTCACGGCTTCAGTTATCCTCTTAAGTTAATGACTTCCTTGAAGGGTGGACTGACACCTGTCACTAGATGGATTGCAAACTCAACTAAAGTAATTTCCTGGTTAATGGATATTCCCCTCAGCAGTTAGTTCAGTTTTTACTTCGTAAGTTATTGGAACTACAAGTTGATAAGACACCCAGCAATGAAGTACATAAGAAGCATTCTGATTTTCCTTCAAATAAGCCTAGTGCTGGCAGAACTTGCATCTGGTCCTATCAAACATCTTAATCGACTCATTGAAAATGTTAATAAGGTCAAAAGGATTGAAAGCGTTCTAGTTTTTCAGCGTCATGAGAATAAGAACTGCTCTGTTCAGGACTGGAATCCCCCGGGATCTCCGATAATACGACTAAGTGAATTGGCCCAGATCGGAATTAGACAGAACTTTAACAGCAAGGTAATGGCATTGGTCTGCATTCATGATGACAAAGACTTAATACTCCTTGATAGCGTAGGAGTAGCTTATGAAAATATGCGTTACCAACGAATACTTCTATGGTCACGGAAGAAACCCACAAAGGAGTTCTTTGAAGAAATCATAAATTATGTCAGAAAGTTGAAATTTATAAAACTTATTGTTCTGGAGGTGGACGATAAAGGAGTTATATCAGCGTTCGGTTTAAAGACAAACATTGATTATCATTTTGTTAGAATAGAAGATGTCCTAAATACCCAGGACATTTATGCTGATTCAGTTGATTTTAATGGAATGACAGCTCTGGTAAAGGAACCTGTGAAATCCGATTTACTTTACTCCACGCCAAATGGCAATTATTCTCTATTCAGAATGGAAGACTTGGAAGTCATTGAGTTTGCAAAAAAGTATAATTTAACCTTAAAAATGCTTTATGAAAATGACACTAATATAGAAAACTTTGACATAGAGTTACGTTTAAAACTTACAAGTAAAAGAAAGTTGGCCGGACAGTTGGGTTATGTGAATCCCTTAAGTTCAACTTCTTTGATCGTCATTGTACCTTGTGGCAATAGCTTGAGTTTAAAGGATATATTCCAGCAATTGGACATCAAGACATGGTTCCTATATATCCTTATAGTATACGCAATTTTGATACTGATGGAGAACTTAATCTTGCTGGTGACTTGTAAGATTACAGCCCAACCTTACCATCTGGGAAGGTCCAATCTTTTGGTGAATCTTTGTGCCTTTCAAGCACTTCTAGGTATGCCATTCCCCGTCAGCCGGAGGTTAAATCTTTCCCTGAGACAGCTCTTTCTGGCCATGAGTATATTCGGTATGGTTTTTAGTAACTTCTTTAGCTGCAAACTGAGTGCCCTGCTGACCAAGCATTCACACAAACCGGGGATTACAAATCTGGAAGAATTACGAGAAAGTGGATTGATGGTAATCGTAGACCCGGATGTTCACTCCTTCTTGCAGAATGATCTCGACAATGACTTAATTCAACGATATTTCCCACTCACAAAGACTATGCGTAATAGAGAGCGACTTGTTTCGATACTTTCCTTTAACATTACTAACGCCTACATTATATATAAAGAAAACTGGTCTGATCTTGAAAAGTATCAGTTGTCCATGGGACGTAAGGCATATTGCACTACCAAAGACTTGGTGGTCGTCGACAATCTGCCCAGGGCATACGTCCTGCAGAAGGACTCCATCTACCATTATACACTGTCAAGATTTGTGACATGGATTCAGGAGGCAGGAATCACCAAGGAATGGTCCAAGCAATCCGGTCTTGTCATAAAGAAGCTACTTAACCTGACTTATGCTTCAGTTTTCAGATCAAAGGACATACCACTCTCCCTTGCTGATCTGCAGTGGTTGGGATATGTACTTGGTCTGGGCTATGGTTTAGCCATTTTGGCTTTCATTATCGAGATTTTTTATTATAGACGTAGGCATACCATGAGGGAAACTTATCCAGAGTTTACTGTTTAAAATTTTAACTAAATATATCTTAAACCCTTTTAAAGTTTAATAAAGATAAACAGAATGTATTTTTCTTAGCTGTTTTTTAAAGTTAAATAAATGTAAAATATAAAATATTTAATTAAAAATGTTTTTTCAATTGGCTGGTACCAGAAGAGCGATGTTATTAACCTAATGGCCACGTAATGGCTATCTAAACTTAATCTAAAGACAGCTGCCAATCTGTGAGTAACAGTTCCCGACTGAAGAATATTCATTAAGCTTAATATAACCACCTAGTTTATCTTCTGCACTACTAGAAAGTGGTTCTAAAGCATGGATAAGTCCAGCATATTGTTAATATTCTACCTAACTGGAGTGGCAACTGAGAATTCCGGCCCTGGGATTTCTCAATCAACTGATTGGAAACATAAAACAGGAATATCCAGTCAATACCCTCTTGATAATGAAACATAATCAGACTTTAAACTGCGACATCCAAGACTTAAACCCTGAAGCAATCTCAACATTACGTTTTAATCAACTGACCAAAGTTGATGTCAGAAGAAATTTCAATTACGTGGGACTTTGCGTTGTTTGTATTCGCCGAGAATCCGAGATCACACTCCTGGAAAATGTTGTAGAAAACTTTGAAGGGATGCGGCAAGAGAGGATAATCTTGTGGATACAAACGAAAGTTAAGCGAAAGCTCCTAAATAAGATTATAGGTATAGCTGATAAGTATCAACTTCTTCAAATGCTGATCTTAGAAGTTCCAAATCGAGAGATGAAGCCGCAACTTATCTTACGATTATATCCTTTTCCAAAGCCATATTTTCTTCAAGCTAAAAACATCTTAAGTTCTAAGCAAATATTTCGTAAACCTAAAATTAACTTTAAAGGCAGAAGTGTCAATGTTCTACCCGATTGGTGTGCTCCCATGGAACTTTTCCCTCAAATCAATGACAAATCAAATATATCAATGCCACTGAGTCGAGTTCAAGATAGCGAGATTGTTCTCTTTGCCAAAAGGTACAATTTATCGCTGTCCGTCATTGAACAATCAAAGGAGAAGGATGTCGTATCAGACATTGTCTTTAGTTCAGAGATTTCTGCATCTGAAACCGATGTGAAAAACTTAAACCCATATGATCTATCAAATTTAAAGGTTATAGTTCCGTGCAGTAGAAAGAAGACCATAAACGATGTCTTTAAGCATATGAATTTCTTAACCATTTTTTTGTACATTCTACCAGTTTACGTCAGCTTTGTGGTTGTGGAAACTTTTATACTGATGGTGACACATCGTTACCAAGGCCAAAGCTACCGATTAACCAACCTGAATCCTCTTCTCAATCTTCGTGTTTTCAGGGCCATTCTGGGTATGCCTTTTCCCATTAGCCAAAGATCTAGCATTTCCCTTAAACAACTTTTTCTGGCTATAAGCGTTTTTGGCCTGGTCTATAGCAGCTTTTTCAGCTGCAAATTGAGTGCTGTACTAACCATGAATTCTGCTCAACCTCAAGTTAAGAATTTCGATGAGTTGCATGACAGTAATATTTCAGTAATAGTTATACCCTATCATCGCAAATATATAGAAAATAAAATTGGTGCTGACTACATCAAGGAAAAAATACCAGGAGCTATATTCATGAACCATACTGAAATGGCCAAATTATTGTTCTCATTAAACGATAGCTATGCTTATACAGTGCTATCGGAAAAATGGAATATGGTCGATAGCTATCAGAAATCTATCAATCGAAAGGTTTTGTGTGACTCAAAGGATCTGATCATCATGCAGGGTATACCAGGAATGTATGTACTGGGAAATAACTCGATATACGACTGGCCACTTTCCAGGTTCTTAAGGAGAATCCGTGAAGTTGGAATCACAAATCATTGGCTTAGTAGAGCACCTATAAACGTTAGGAAAGTCCTGAATATAACTACGCTTTTGAGTCCCAAGCGTAAGGCAGTTCCCATTGCTTTCAACGATCTAATGTGGCTTTGGTTTGTTCTGGGATTCGGTTATGGCTTGGCTGGTGTTGTGTTTCTTGTAGAGCTTACATTAAGAGGAAACGTTTAAAAAACTTTAAGCTTATATGATCAACTTGTATTCTTGTAAAACACATTAATATCTGAATGTATTTGTCACTCTCTTTGTAATTTTCTTATATAAAAATAAATAATAAAAAGCTCAACTTATATCCTAAAAGTTTAGTTTTTTTGAAAATACTTGGTTGAATTTGCTTTTCAACTTAAGTTGGCACTGCAAATGGATCAAAGATATTTGTTAATAGTGCAAGTCAAAGTGTCTTTCTTTCCACTTTTAATACTTACTAAAGTGCAATTTGAATGGGGAAGGAAGTTAGTGTAGATGTGGCAGTCTAGTTAACCCATGACATCTGTCACTCAACTGTTTAAAGGCAAAACTTATATCTAATAAAAACCAATTAAGTAAAGTGTTAAGTAATTATTTTGATTTCACAGAATAAAGTATTTATTTTTTTTAATTTTAACAATATTTTGATTTCAAAGAGTAAAGTTTCTTAGACTTAACATAATTTTTCACACCATCAACTCTGGATCATTAAAAGTCCTCCGTCTCTTCCTCATATATATCTCACCCAGAAAAACCAATATAGAAACACTATAACCCAGGATAAGCAGATACCATAGCCCCTTAAGTTGTTCCACACATAAAGCATACTTATGACCCTTTGGAACAGGAAAAGAGGACACGTTAAAAGAAGTCATTAACAGTTTAGGAATATCTTTTTGCCAATGCCTAGTAATACCCGATTCCTGTAGGAACATCACAAACCTGCTTAGTGGCCACTGAAATAGTGAGTTATTCTGCAAAACGTACACTCTCGGCCAATTTTCAACGATGGTCAAGAACTTGGAGGTGCAGTAGGCTCGTATGCCCTTGGATTTTTGATATTTATCCAAATTTTCCCAGTGTTCTTCTAACATGGGATAGGCGTAGTTATCCACCGTTGACAAGAATAACTTAACTCTATCGTTATAAGACATTACCAATTTTCTAGGCATCACTTTCTGAATTACTTCCTCACCCAATTCACTTTCCATAAAGGAATACAGATTTTCATCTATAACCGTGGTTAAGCCACTCTGGGCCAACTCTTCAAAGTTCATAACTTGAGGTCGAATAAAAGGCCTTGTTAGCATGGCACTCAGCTTGCAGTTCATAAAGTTACTAAAAATCATTCCAAAAACCACAATGGCCAAAAAGAGTTGTCTCAAGGATGGGCTTGCCCTGCGATGTTCGGGATATGGTAGACCCAAAATGGCTCGAAAGGCGTACAAGTTAACCAGAGGTTGAGGTGTCATCTGTTGGTTTCTTTCTCTTGTTATCCAATATGTTACTTTAAGTATAAAAACTTCAATTAAAACAAATATTATATAGACAAAAATGATGTATAAAATCCATTTCTGGACACCAGATTGCTGGAGAAAATCGTGAAAACTCCTGTAGGTTCCGCAGGGCACCACAACCACTATCGACGTCGAGCAGTAGGGATTTACAAACTTTATATGATTTTGCATCAGATTTTTTCTCACTAGGCGTGGAGTTAACTGTATATCAAATTGATCAGTGTTTGTTAGATTTCCCTCTAGAAACTTAAGAGTCACATTGTGTTTTTTGGCAAATTCTATAATTTCCATGTCTTCTTTTGAGATTGTGGGTGTTCCTCCGTTTGGATAACGCCTTACCAAAGCCGTCTTTCCTTGAAAATTTTTAATAGGTTTGTAGAAAACCGAACTATTTAGTTTCCAAACATTTTCAATTCGATTCATATGAGCACTTGGTATTGGATCAAGCTGATGATAGGATATATTTTCACTTTGATTACCATCTAATACGATTAGCCTGTAAAAGTCAAACTCAGTGGACTTTTTAGAGATTTCGTTCAGAAATTCTGCTGTGACTTCAATTTGTGTCCACAAAATAATCCTCTCTTGTCGCATGTTTTCAAAAGCATCAGCCAAATTCTTTAGCAATCCTATATGCGAATTTTCACCAATACAAACTATGGCCAAAACGTACTTTTTAAAGTTGGCCTTAATCTTTATGTTTCCCAGATCATTTGTCCGAATGATGGCAGTTCCTAGAGGATTCCAATCCCGAAGCTTGCAATTGTCATGAAGATGATGTTGAAGAATCATTATCGTCTCGAATTTTTCTTCTTTCTTAATAAGTCGAACTATTTTATTGAGTTTTTTTAGTTGGGGAAAGTCACTTCCTTGTAAAAGTTTCAAACTTAGAAAAAGTATGAAAATTATTTTAGTTTTAAGAAGATACATTGCTCTGGGAGTTTCGATTAGTTTCTATACTTTCCGCTGGTTCAAGCTGAACTAAATGGAAATTACTTCGGTTTCTAGTCGTTTCTGCTATCTGCTAAATGACAACTGTCAACTAGATTGTGCCTCGATAAATTTAATGGAAATTTCTTCAAATGGCTAAGTGGGACTACGTTTGACATGCCAAACTTAAGATGAACGTTGAGGTAAACCTTATATAGGTGGTTTAAGTTGATTAGGCTAAGATCTTTTATCAATAAATCTCTGTAATTATAAACTTTATTACGCACTTTAGAAGTTTCCATTTCTGATTTTACAGTTTCTCTCTTTTAGTTTTTCCAAATTTTGCTTATTTTTCCAACAAATCAACCAGGCAGCCAAATAGCTTTCTATTGTAAAAGCAAATAATCAAACTTAGGCAATAAAAATAATCAAGATTTTTAGCTTTAATTCGTTGCAAAAATCTATAGGAAGCTATATATTGCCTTACTCCATCTGCCAATGTGGAAAATATTTGTTTTTCCACATTTATGGGTCAGCTGTGCTGCTGGATTTCCCCGCTCCAAGTTGTTTGTGCAACAATTGAGATCTGTTTCGGTTAACCGTTTCCATTTGGCCAGCGTGATCGACGTCGAGTGTCTATCGATAGCCTCGACCGAGCGACAATTTTCCTCGCCGGCAGCAGCAGCAGCAGCAGCAGATCAGTTTAGATGGCTTTTCGCAGTCGTGTACCGTTTGCTGAGCCGTTTGGAACGCGAGCGCCGTGAGCGCCATTGTGAAAAACGTGAAAAATGAATTTTCCACCCTGGGCAGTCGATGCGCTTGGGACGCCCGAGCATGTGCCGTCGCCTGTCAGCGTTTAACAAGTGTTTTTCCTTAAAAGTTTTCCCCCCCTCAACAAGCATCTTGTAGGCGTGGGCCTAGCGGAAATGAGAAAATTTAATTTTAACAAATATTAATTGTCATTCAGTGTCAAATCGAATTGGAAAACGTGTGTGGTTGTCTGTGTTTTTTGTGTAATTTCGTAAATAATAAATGAAAATAATAACTATATGTGACTTAAGTGTGTTAAAAACTAAACCAGTCAGAGATTAAAATATTTTATTAAAAAGAAAATCCCATCAAGTTCTTCAAGTGAGTTTTGGTCTCAAAGAAAAGCAGCCAAAAATGCTAAAAAAAAAATCAATTTTTCATTTATTTTCCGGGAATAATTAAAGGCGATAATAATACAGAAATAAGTATTTCTTAACATTTTAATTTCTTGTTTATTTTATTACTTTATTTATTATTAAACAAAGAAATTATTCCAGATTCCAAAGGCCAAAAGTTTTTAGCTCTTCCTTTGTTCTTTGTTTACAATTTCCCTTCATTTTTCAAACTAAAAAATCCAAATAAAATTTAAGTCCAAACGTGTGTTGCATATAGAATAATTAATTAAAAATCCTAATGATGAATTTTATGTGCCATCACTGTAAATACGTTTTACATATTTATTATTGTTTTGCCTTATGCTAAGATACACCCGATTAACTCGCTCAACACCTCAAGGCACTGGCTGTCGCAATCAATTTTTGTCGCCCGTCGTTGGCTTTAATAGTTTCACTAATTTTGAAATTTATTAGACACCCTCTACCCCATCTCCCCTAAGCTTTACATATCTGTTTTATGTTGCAGTAAACAGTTTTTATCACCTCTCGTGGCATGGCAAAGCCAAGAGAGCATCTAGAAAACTGTTTGGAAAATCTTTAGCAGCTAAGCAGGCAGACAAGGCGAAGAAAATCTGTGAAAAATCTTAACCCCTGCCTGGGCAAAAGGCAACTATGTGGCCGAAATGTTTTTGCTTTTTTGGATCTGGCTGCTGCCTGATCTGGCATCAGTCAATGTCAGTTGGCCCAGTGCCAGGTCGCCTGTGTGGGCGGCGGCGGCGACAAACAAACAAACCGCCTGCTTGCCTGCCTGGCTGGCTGCCTTACTGCCTGCCTCTAAACAAAAGTAAATAAATGCTGAAGTAAAAGAAAGTACTCGAAAGTGTTGCAGCAGACTATGTATCTGTGATCATAGGATGAAAACTGAGAATGCGAAATATTTCCCGCTTCATGATGCGTGTCTTTTCTAAGCTAGAAAAATGAATTTCAAGTTTATTTTTTGTCTTTAAGTGTCAAATATCAAGTGTTTTGTTTATGAAGTGTATTTAAATTGTTAGGAAAAAACAGTGCGTTTCATAGCAAACAGTCATTGAGTTTCTGAAAGTTTTACGTTACAAAAATATTCATGAAAAATAATTCACTTTAACTTGCTTTATCCCAAAGTTCTTATAACTTTTCAACCAAACACTTTTCTTTCCTATGTTTTTTAAATATTTTTCACTTCACTTTACAAACTCAATAGCCTTATATTTATGGAACGCACTGTCCCCATCCAAACGTGCGAATATGTATAGCCATATATTTCCGCTCGATTGCTAACATATGTCCAAAGCGACGACAAAAGCATGCCAAATATTCATGGCATATTTTTTGTTTGTGGCATTTTTTTGTGATATTATTTAAATTTCTATTAATTTTAACCACCTCCAAAGCCAAAAAATATAAATATTTTAACACATTTTTTTTGGCTAAAGAATTTCTTTAATGGATTTTATTGAGTGAGTTTTTTGGGCCTGTAGGTCGGGGCAATGGCATTGGCCAAGTGCAAAATTTATTATACATTTATCATTTAAGTATCACATTTTTTTCCTTCTGCCTTTTATTTTTGTGCTTCTGTTTTGTTTCAGGTTGAAAATGTTTATGATTTTATATTGTTTTTTATTTGGATTTCTGAACTTGTGCAACAATTGGCAAAGATATTTGAAATGTAAATTCAAGAATGATATAAAGGCTACGCCATCTGGTTGAAGGCTGTAAGCTTGAACGACTCATGAAGTGGGTCAGTGGTTCTTTTCTTTTCTTTTTCTAACAAAATTTTAAAGGAAAATAATACATTTTATTTATTTCATTTGCTAATTGATTTTGATCTTCCATTATACTCGACTGCATCATTTCCGTTTCCCAATTTCGTGCCAAAAAGTATGGACGTCATGCACTTGACCAGAAAATCCCCTGCCCACTACCTTTTCAAAAATCTTTTATATATATTTGATTATCTGAAGGCGTTTGGTTTTTATCTATTTAAAAAAATATTCGAGAAAATTTGCAAATTGCGCAGCGTAAATCTTAGAATGCAAATTGTTTTCCACGAAACATTAATTTTACTGTCGGATTTCCTGGAATTATTGGGATTTTTATTTTTTTTATTGTTATTTCAGATAATCAGGCCTTAACAATTTGTTATTGCTTGAAAATATTTATTTATTTAACAGTTTTTTATCTATTTTCCAACAAATACATTTTCTTAATTACTTATTAAATATCAAAAGAAAAAGAAATAAACTTCTACTTCCCATCTAATTTACCTATAAATCTTCGCCAACATCAATTTCACAGATCTGGCGCCCGGTTTTCGCCTCTTTTATAGTGACGTCAATGAGAGGCCCTACGAGAGCAGATTTTCAAATAGATATTTTTAGCTACATATATATTCGTCTGATTCTGATGGTTGGAAAACCAGCTAGTCTGTGTTTTACTTTATTGCTGCCTATAATTGGTTCGTTTATGTGCGAAATGGTAGAGAGAGCATCCTGAACTTGAAATAGAAGCACGGAAAATGTGAGAGAAGCCAAGGGGAGTTTCTGGGCAAAGAGGAAGTCGTACCAGGATTATGATGTTCGGATGCAGTGCATCGGGATTGGTTTATTTTTGAACTTTGGTTTTGTGGAAGGGAAAGACTAATGACTAAGGAGTGGCGCTGAGTCAAGTGCAGATCTGCAAAGGGCACTGGAAAAAATATTTGTGGAATATAGGTTTTTAAAGGTCAAATTATTGGATTTTACTTGGCATACTTTTAGGAGTTTACTTAAAAAGCGGAATCAAAGGGAAATAATTTGGCATTTCTTACAAAAACTTATTAAAAACATAAATATTTTAATAATTAAAAAATTTTTTTACCCTGTCACATATATAAAATTCTTCATATTAAGCGAAGGGATCTCTGAATAATCTTCACTTTCCGTTTGCGATTATTCAAATGCATCACAGCTGTCGAATACCTCAATTCCGAGCTCTGGCTTTCAGCAATTTTACATTCAGCAATTAGCAAATTGTTGTTGCTCATCGGATGACACATAATGACGCATGGCTTTGGCCACAACAATAGCAATGGGCCTACTCTGGCAAACTGACTTCCACTTTCTATCCATCAATTATGGGGGAAGGTAAAGCACATAGTGACGAAGTGCAGTGGGACAGCCTGTTAGTTGTATATATATATACTTTTTATATATAAGCCATAAACATATATCCCTAAAATCTGCCATTATACTCTTATAATAGTCTTTTGTAGGACCGAAGGTTAAGGTATGAAAATTAATAAATCTTGTTGAAAAAACTTCTGTTAAAGCATTTTCAGCCTTAAATCCAAAAATAACCAAAAATAGTTAGAAATAAATACAACATTAAATAACTCTAGTTAAAACTCTTTTTATCTTGATGTAATATTTTTGATTTCTTTTGCTAACAAATGTTTTTATCTTAATTTTTTTATGTTAAAGGTTTGTTCGTCACCTCTTTTTTACCTCATTAAGAGTTTGTTTTGTTCGATTAATATTCATAAGCAATTATCAAGCTGACCATAAACAGTGTATTTAGTTTTGAGTGCCTGTGTATGAGTGTGTGTGTTCTTCTGTAAAATAATTAAAACAAATTATGCCATGTGCCTGTCTCATTGTCAAAAGTGCACTTGAAAGAATTCTTTTGAGTCAAATTATTTCAATTTGGACATGAGATTTTTGAGGATTACTTTTCAAAATCTTTATGCACTCTAAAATAATTAATATAATTTGTAAAAATATTTTACATTTTAGTTTATTTCTAATTTTATAAACCTTAAATAAACTTTAGCTTCAAATTTTAGATTTTGCTTTTAAAAACCCTAAAAAATTCCAAAACATTCCCCCTACCTTTTCTCAAAGTGCACTCTGACGCCATCTAGTACTCACACACGACCCAATGTTGTTACTCATATTTGTCCAGCATTATTGTCATGATCATCATGAGGGTCTCGCTAATATCATCATCATCATGATAAAAGATCATTAAGGCTATGGAAGTCGCACAGCATGGAGTGCTGACTGAGCCGACGACAGTCGCAGTTTATCCGCCGACCAAGTCGAATCTATAAGTCCGCCAAAAACTAAAATTACAAAAATACTTAACGCGTGCGGGTAAACTAATTTATGACAATTAATCCGCCCATCCACTAGCCACCGTTAAACTAATATGTAATATTGTAAAATATTTTCAACAGGTTGAAAGCATTTAAACTACAACAAAAATACGAAAATAATTGCAACAAAGAAAACAACGATTTGTTTATTAAACGAAAAACGAAAGAAAAACACACGCAAAACGAAGAGGGGAATAAATGGATTTAGAAATAGATGATAATTAAAATAAACAGCAGAGAAAGCGAAGGAATAATTAAGAGAGGAAAATATGTTTAATTTGCTGCAAAGATCGCGTCGTGGAAAAGCGCAGAAGATAGTCTTAGATGAAGAGGAGGAGGATACCGGACAGATACCCAAGAGATATAGTAAGATCGGAGATATATCTGATTCTCGAAGAGCTAAAGAGCAGCCGGAAAGAGCACGACGGGCAGTGATCGAAGAGCTGGAGGACTTTGCCAGCGACTTTGACAACGACGACGATGGCAACGGGAACGGCAAAGGCAACGACGGCGGCGACGACGAAGAGCGTTTAAAATTAGCAAAAACAGCTGCTAATGGCCGCTCCGACAATTTGTATATAAATAAAATGGGCGGAGATGCGAGGACGTGGACGTTTTCCTCGGGCGGTGATCGAAATGCGGCTACCAGCAGTCAAAACGAGGCAGCCAGCGCGATCGCGAGCGTTGGTGGTCAACTAATTGGCACTATCGAGCCCCAAATCGATGGCCCATTAACTATAACACATCGCCATCGTATCGAAATCGAACCGCAAAAACGACAATCTCTGCTCTCCATTGGCAGTTTCAAGCTAACAAATTCTAGCAAAGAAAGTCCAGACAACGAGAAAGAAAAAAAGAGGAAAACTCTGCAAAAGAGTCGCGATTTTCTTAGCGACATTTTCATGGCGCGTGGTCGAAATCATCAGCGTCAAAAGCAGCAACAGCAACAGCAACAGCAACAGCAACAGCAACATCAAATTCCACAACAGCAGTAGGAGGAGGAACAACAGTCGCTAGTGGCAAGCCAAATAAATCGAATAAAAGTAATGCCAAAGACGTAATCGCCGCCACCACCACCACACACCTTGAAACGAACTCCGACCCCGCTCTGGCATCCCCGACTACTTATCAAATGACTTTGGCTAATAATAGCCCAGAGAATAGCGGCCAACGAAGAGCAACGATCGAAGAGCAAAGTAAGCCAGCTGGAGTGCCAGAAGAGTGCGAAAGTTTTTCCGCAGAGAACGAGCATTTTCCGACAGAGATCGAGCCGGAAAAAGAGCCCACAACGACCATGCGTTCGTCGTCGTTCATTCAAGCGGCAAACGTTGAGCGGCCAACAGCATTTGCCGAACATCAGCAACAGGAGCAGCAGCAACAGCCGCCCGGCAATGCAATTGCTGACTCGCAGCAACATCAAGCGCCAGCACAGCAGCAACATCAACATCAACATCATCATCAGCAGCAGCAGCAACATCAGCAATTAAGTGACATAACCATGGGCCAAACCAGTGCCAAACCGAATGAAATCAGCTCGGCCCACAGTTCGCGTGCCAGTACGCCGCGTGATTTTCGTGAGTCGGTCGTGAGTCAGCCGCAGGCCCCGCCCAGGCATCAAAAGTCACCGGAAGTGCCAAAAATCACTGTAGAAGATTGTAGTTTTCCGGAGGAATTAGCACCGAAAACACAGGATATATACTACGAACTAAATGAACCAGCTGAAGACTCTCTAAACATCGAAGAACTCAACGAGGCGCATATAGAAACCCTGGAAGACGAGGTCTTTACATCGGATATACCAGCAACTATTTATCAGAACAACAATGGTCGTCCCTGGACACGCTTGAGTCATGTCAAGTTGGAGAATGTCCAGGAGGAGGCAGAGGAGGAAGAAGATGAAGACCAGGAAATGGATGATGTAGATGAGGCAGTGGACTTGGACTATGAACCACACATATCTAACAGTCATTCAACGAATGGCAACTCTCGACAATCGGCCAGCAGCGAGCGGAGTGCCCTGAAAAGTGATTCCAATCTAAGTACCAGCTATGCAGATTCCGGAATCGGGGAACAGGAGTTACCCGGGCAGCACCAGCACCAGCCGGAGCATCAGCAACCGCCACAACCACCGCCACGCAGTTCATCGCATATGGCAACCAACCAAAATCTGAGCCACACCTCCTTTATACGCGATGGCAACTCCACCGACTGCGAGGAGACCTTTCTGCAGTGCGACGAACTCGACGACATTGAGCGTTTCAGCGAGTTCAGCGAGCGTTTGGTATGCATCGAGAGTATCAGTCTGCCGGATGTGGTTGTAGAGTCAACGACCGCCAATGCAACCACATCAGGAACAACATCATCATCAACAGCAGCAGCAGGAGGAGCGACAGCGACAGCGACATCAAGAACATCACCATTGGCTACCACAAATGGCGGCGATTCGCAGATCAACATCAATATTCCCAATGGTGCGGGGGGCAATAGCCTGGGCAATGTGCACTTCATACCCATCCATGTCGAGGGACGCAGTCGCAGCAACAGTCCCAAACAGCGCAGCCGGGACGACAGTTGCATTGGCCAGGATATGACGCCCTGCATTGAGATCATCGAGGATGGCAGTATCCTCAATAAGCCAGTGCGTCAGGAGAGCCCCTTTGACAATCAGGAACTCAGGTGAGTTGGAAAAGAAAGGAAATAGAATAGATAATCAATTCTACTGTCGGGAAATTGAAAAAGAACATAAGTACTGGCACCATGACGTATACTTGATATTTTAGTTAGTACTAGCAGCTGCCGTCTCAAGTGCTGCGTATTTAATCGCTGGCGCATGCCAACAATTTCACCATTAACATGGCTAGATGCAGCCAATTTATCTTGATCTTTGTGTCATGGAACATGCCTTGTGATCTGGCTTCGCTTACTGGGAAATCGTTCAACGGAAATTTCCCTCTTATTTGCTTTGTGAGTTTTCTTCTCTTTTCTTTGCCAATTTGATTTGCGTCGAGATTTCCAGTCAGGGACGACTATTTTTAAATGGATCAAAAGCTATATACGATTCATAAACATTTTGATAAGTGAAATATTGGCGGAAAATGTCAATCAAAGATTGTTTTAGTCAGAAATAAAAATGCCTTTTAAACTTTTTATTGTTTTCTAAAAGAAAATGTCAAAATTCATTGCCACTCTTTGAAGTGATCTAATGTGATGGATAATTTCCCTTAACAAGACATTCAGATGAGTATCATATATACAGAAGCCAAAAATTCCTTAGAAAAGCCCATTTTTTGGCTACTATCTCGCATTACGTATACGCAGTGTGAAAGGTGGCATTGTTTGGCCTTCGCCGATATGACAGATTATGACAGCCGTGCGGCAAGTGTCTCATAGCCAAATGGCGACAATTATTTTCAACAATATATATATTTATGTAAATTTTCGTATTTTAAATAATAAACATTAGATTTTGTGTTCGAAATCAGTTTAACGTTTTGGCAAAAATAAATTCACTTCGTCATTTCTCGTTTGGCTGTCTTCCTCTAGCAATTTGCAATTTTTGTTGGCAACATGTTGGTCATTTCCCACGCTTGTTTTTTGGCTACTCTAAGCAGGGGGTATATCGTTTAGGATAGGTATTTTGGGGGGGCTTATAGGTGTGAAAAGTGTTTAGAAAATCTTTGTTGTTGAGGATTTGGGATTACTATAATAGTTTGTATGAGATTTTGAGACTTAAATATTACATTTTTAGGTCTTAAAAGATTAAAAAGTTATTTCTTTGACTGACTCAAACTTTATTTTCTTTAAGAATTTTGCACTTATGATCACTTTCCAAGTTAAATGCACTTTTCCAGAGTATCCACAGCCTCGACTTACCCAAATTTCACCCTCAATCATATTTTCTCATGTGCATAGAACACGATCTGGCTGCTCTAGTTTTATTTGCCGTGCTTATTTTAGGCGTGCAAAAAAGACACAAGTAAATTTTTGAAACATTCATATTTAGAGCAAACTTGTGAGGAAATGGAATAGGTGTGTGAGAGGGGGGAGGGGTTTGTGGCAAGCACTTGTGGAATTTTATTTAGGTTGTTCTTGATTTTGGGTGGATAATTGATTGGGCAAACGGGTGGAGGTGGAGCATCCTCTAGCATTGAAAGATTGTTTATACCGACCGGCACATGCGGCGTATGCGTAATTTGCCTCGAATAACTAATGGGCATCTTTTTGACTGCTTCTGTTGCTGCTGCTGTTTCCTTCTCTTCATCACCCTGCCTGACTGTGTTTATCTAATACAATTTAATTATCAACTTGGGCATAAACAACGAAAGAATCTGAGATAGCAACTATGCAATCGAAATCGGAAAGTTCACAGGCACCGGCAGAGATGCTCTTGCCAAAAATAATTGAAATAACTTTCAATCTAAGTACACGAGTTGAATCTGTCCCTTGTATTTTCAGCTCTCTGTTTCTCTATATCTCTGTCTATGTTTATCTCTGAGTATCTCTAGAGAAACGTATAGAAACGCGTGTCACAAAATTTGATAAATTCACATTGTCTATAGTAAACTTATGGGCGACAGTGCGGAAAATATGTTGAAAAATCAATACAACACTTTAAACATATATTATTAAAAAAATATTAAGAAAAAAGATAATAAATGCCAGTATTTTATTAGATTTTTTAACCTTTTTTAATTTATTTTTATTTAACAATAAAAAATAGACAAAGCCATAAATCAAAATCCAAAAATAGAACAAAATCCAAACTAAACATTGAGTTTAGCCGCCACTTTCTTGACCTTTAATTGATCATAAAAACCTACAAAAATATTAAGTTTTACACTATTGAAACGCACTGTTTCCTCTATAGAGAACGAGACTAAAAGTTGGCAAAATGCGCTAACAAAAAACGACGGAAAATCGTTGATTTAAAAATAAACTTTGCGCATTTTCGCAGCAAAAACGAGAATCGACTAGGATAAATTCAATTAAAACGTATTTCATTTTTGCGTTGAAAAGCCAAAACAAAACAAAGTACAAACCAAATATATATATTATATAAAATTGTATCTACGTCGTGTTTCTATATAGTATCCATGTACATATTGAATCTCAACAAATTATGGTTGAGGAAGACGTTGCCATTGTTTTTACACCTCATTCACATTTAACGAGCTTTTCCATTCAAATTACGTCAGGCCAATGTCTGGCTATAGGTATAAAGATAATATAAAATAATAATAAATATTATTATTCTGTGGTTTTTCTTTTATTTCTTTATTTTGTACGTGCTGCGTGCGCGGAACACGTTTGTGATTCACATTTTGTTTGTCTTCGGGATTATTTGGTGACAACATTTTGTTTGTCTTCGGGATTATTTGGTGACAAGATTTGTTTGAAAATTTCCGTCTGACAGTTCGAGCTGATCTGTCTAGTAGGGATTTATGTCTCTCTATTCCCGTATATTACTCATCCTGATAATTGACTTTCCCCAGAAAGGAACTGAAACAGCAGAAAGCAAGGTTTGCAAGCCAATTGGATGAGGCCCACAAAAATGCCAGCCAGCTGGAGGCCAAGGTTGCTGATATGCAGTTCAAGATCCAGAAATTGGAACAGGAACTCTCCGTCAAGCAGTGGAATGTGGAAAGTAAGTCTGATATATCATTATATATTTTATTTGGATTTATTTTTATATAATTTTATGATTTTTCAGGGCTTCAAGGTGAACTGAATGCCGCCCACAAGGACGATGAGTATGTCCGGAAAAAGCTAAAACTTTTAGAAGATGAAAAAGTCCATCTGAGGCACAAATACAGCGAAAATCAAGATGAATTCCAGATCAAATATGGTAGGTAAAGTGTTAACTTATTAACGATTAGTGTAATTAAGCCAGAATTAAAGTCTTTTAAAAATATTCCCAAATTCCCATCAACCAAAATGTTGGCCTAAAAAACCTTCAAAGAACTTTTTAAATTGAAAATTTTACTTTTATTCATAAAATTTTTATTAAAAACTTTAAAAATAGATTCTTAAGCTTACTTAAATATTTTTTTAACAATTTTTTAGACGAACTCGAAGCTCAGTATAACGAACTAACCGAGAAGTACAAACTGACCCAGGGCCTGGCCAAAAGTCTGCAAACCCAATTGGCCTGCGCCCAGGTCGAGGCTGAAGAATGGCGTCAGCAGGTGGAGAAGATCCGAGCGGATCTCGAAGAGCAGATAAGGATATTGAAAAACGCTCTAGAAAACTCGGAGGCCGAGAGAAAAATCTGCGAAGACAAATGGCAAAAGGAGTTCGAAATGCTCAGGACACATAATCGAGGTGGGTTGTCTTAAAGAAAATCTTTTAGAGAAATAATTTAACTAGCTTTTTAAAAATAGTTTTGTTAGGATATAAATCTTAAACTAATTCCCAACATTTTTCAGAACGCGAGGAATCTCTGATGACGGACTGCGAGTGGCAGCTGCGGCAGATGCAACGCCAGTGCAAGGACAAGATGGACAAGTCGAACTACGAGAGGAAACAGGCTTCTGCCAAGGCCGAGGAACTGGAACTGGAGCTGCAGTCTCGAAGGAGGGAATCCGAGATGCTGCGCACCTGCCAGGCGCAGGTTAACTCCCTAAGGGGCGTGGTCAGCGAACAGGAGCAGTCCATTCAAACCCTTATGGATCGCATCGAGAACCTTAAGGGGGATCTGCAATCGGCCAATGAGAACCTCGAAACACAGATCGAGGCGGTGCACAAGATCAAATATCAGTGTGATAAGTAAATAGATCTTAAATATATCTTAAATGATCTGTTAATATTAGATTTATGATATATTTTTAGTGCCATCTATGACAAGGAGCGTCAAATGATCTACAAAATCGATGAGGTGCGCAACGAGGCAGCCGCCTTCTGGGAAAACAAACTTTAGTAAGTCTTAACTTTGATATCTTAAAGATATATATATATATATATCATAAACAACAATATATATATATAGCACAGAGATGACAAGACTGACTAATGAACTGGAGTCCGTGTATGTGGACGAGCGCCGGGATGCGTTGGACAAACTGCAGAACGAGCACATCGAGGAGCTAAGGGCCTTGACCAATAGATATACCTCCAACGAGGAGGAACTGCGAGCCGAGGTGAGTTCTTAAAAATCTGAAGACATATTTAAAATGAAATATTGGAAAACCATCTTTAGATTGAAGATCTCCACGTGAGCCTGGAGCTGAAGAAACAGGATTTTCTCAGTCTGCGCGAACGCTCGGACAATGCCCTTCTCCAGACCCGAATGCATTTGGATAAGGCCGATCGGGAGTACCAGAATGCCATGTGCCGTGAGGAGGATCGTCGCGTGGAGCTGGAGGAGAAGCTGAAGAAGGAATTCGAAACGGAAAAGGCCGAGATGGAGGAAAAGTTCCGCGAAAGACTGGGCCAAGTCAAGGAAGAGTTCGCCAAGGAGCTGCAGTTATCCACGCAGGACATGGTCGATTCGCATAGGAAGGAGCTGGGTGAGTATAGGAATTATATTATCTAATATCTAATTATATATTTTCATTACCCTCAAACCCCTGCAGACTCTCAAAAAGCCAAGTTGCAGTCAGAGAAGGACGAGGCGTTGCAGGAACTTGTGGAACGACATCGCGCGAAAATGGCCGCTGCCGATGAACGAATCAAGTGAGTGGCTCTCTAGCATGCCCCGCCTTCTAGATAGATTATATATATATATAATCAAACCTGATACCACTGCTCCCTACTAAACCGCCCGATGAATGTCTGCATCCTACTCATCTGTCACCTTTGAGGTCTCGATTCTCGATTCATTATCATATGGAATTTGTATTCTGTTTTTCTCGTTTCACACATTTTAACTCATTGGATTATCAGCATGGATCAGCATTTAGGTCGATCGACAAGCTCTCTGGCTCTGTGGGCTTTGGCCAAGGGGGCGTGGCCGTATATGCCAACACTATATGTGCTATATCTGACCATGTCGCCGCTGATCGCCATTGCATGCTTGGTGTTTAACATAGTCGCTGTGCTATATATCAAATATCGTCATTTCTTAGCGCGAAAATAAAAACTGTTTAACCCTTGTTTTAGCTTGAAAATGAGCTTGATTTGATATGGGATTAATCTGATATAACTTTGAATTGGAAAAATATTGCTTTGGGTGTTTTATATAATTTTTTAAATATTTTTTTAACTTACTTTGAGATAACTTTGTCATTGAAAAACATTCAAAATTGTGATTAAGATTTAAATATTTTTAATAATATTTCTTAAAAACGTTTAAAGTGTATAAGGAACGGATAGCTTATGCCCAAATGTACCAGATTATATATCTAACATTCCAAAATTTATATTTCCACAAGACAATAATATTTAACCAAAACTTTCCCCCACTTTTTATCAACTTAAGCCATTAAAAGTCAATTTATGTTAAAAATACTTTGCAAAACATCCAAATTAATATTTTTAAAATCCTTAAGGCATTCCAAACCCCTTAAAAAACATTTTCTAGAATGCAGCTTGTGAAACGTTTTTCTTTAAGAACGATTCTCTTAATATTTTACTTTCTCTTTCTCGCTATGTGTGTGTTTATCCACCTCAACCTCTGCCCGTCCGCCCACTCTCTATAACCTGAATAACCCAACCAACCACCCGAAACTGAATCTGAAACCCAAAAATATCCGCATTCGCATTGGCCACATCCGCGCACACCTGCAGCGATGTGGAACTTCGGCACCAGCGCAATCTCAAGGACCTGAAGGCGGCCTACGATGCCGAGAAGGCGGCGCTGGACAAGCGCGACATCAGCAACGCCAACGAGATCGAGCAGCTGCATCGCAAGTGCCGCTGCCTGACCAATCTGTAAGTGCATCCCCAAAACCCCCTTGGACCCCAAAAACCACTATCCCACCTTATCCCTAAAGTTGAGATCTTAAGTCTATTATAATTTATGAGAAAACTGGTTTTAAATTAGAAGAAATTAGCGTTATTTGGATTTTTTTTACATTTTTTGTGCAGAACCTTAAACTAAATTTTGAAAATGTTGTAATATTTTGATATAATATAAGGATTACCCTTGTCTTATATAACATATAAGTTTTCATTATAATAGACTTGAGATCAAGACCTTTAACTCTATACATCTTTACCCCTAAACTTATCTTACTTTTGCCTGTCCGTGTTGTGGGATGTTGTACGCTAAGTCAGTATCCAAAATGCGCTTTTAATTTTATAAAAACTTAACTTAATTAACCAAAAATATTAAAAATAATAAATTTAATCCCCAGCTTCGAGGAGATGAGAATGCGTTACGAAAGACGGGATCCTCGGGCCGAGGATCTGCGTGAGATATCCGAACTAAGAACGAGATGCGAAAGTCAGGAGCGAGATCTTTACGTACTAACCGATCGCCTGAGGGAGATGCAGATCCAAATGTCGGAGATGCAACAAAATGGTGAACAAAAAGGCAGTGGAAAGTCGGTAAAGAAACCGCCGCCCAAATCGATAGCCACCAGCTGTGACGTCATATACGAGGAAAACGAAGAGCGGGAATCCCCAGAGCAGGAAAATGGTGAAAATTCCTCTCAAGGAGATGATGATGATGAGGAGGAGATCGAACAGGAACCCAGCGATACAGAGTCGAATCACACGATCGAGGTGAATGGAAAATCCGATCGAATCAATGAAGATGATGCCCATTTAATCACCGCTGTGTGATCCCAAAACTTCTTCTATATTTTCCAAATTTGTGGCTGTATTTTTCGAGATCCCCGAGAAGTGGATGTTCCAGGACCAAGGATGTGTGATCCCAAGAGCTTTGGCGCTCTCTCTGTGCTGCCTGTCTGTATCGCAGGATATGGAAATCGAACCAATCATCAAAAAAACAAAAATCGCTCAAAGCTTGAACTCATAAAAATTGTAAATGAAATTTCTGAATTTTGGTTTTTGAAACCGCAAAAAAAGAAAACGAAATAAATGTAAATATTTTTAACTAAAAACAAATGTATATGTCTTTATGGGAAAACTATTAACGTTAAATGCTGAAATAGGAAAAAAGAAAAAAAGTCTTCAAAAATTTTCCGCTTTTCAATTTCAAAAATTCAAGTAAAATGAAATTTTGATTTGAATAAATAACAAAGCAAGAAAGTTTTTTAACATATTTAAAATGCATTCATTTTGTGTAAATTTTTTTTTTTCATTTTTGAAAAATTTTTTTTTTTAAGTTTCAAAACTAATGTTATACATTTTATCTACATACGATTTCTTTCTCTACATGTTGCCTCTAAAATAATACATAAATTTTACAGGCGAAGCCAAACCTTGGCCACGTTGGCAACCCTGTCGCCGCAAACTGTTTTCATGGTCTCTCTTTCTCTCTACCATGCTCTCGCTATGTTTAAATTTGACCATACAGCACTCTCTCTGTTAGTAAATGCCCGGCTCTCCCGCTCTCATTTACTTTCTCTCTCTAGAATTAACAGAACTCAAAACATCTGATAATCGAACATCTGCCTAGATAATATAAAGAAATGTGTTCTTATTGTCCAAAGTAACATAATTCGTAAATGATTTTTTATTATTATTTTTACTTTTTACAAAATACCAATATTTTAAAAAACTTTAGATAAAAATATGAATAATCTAAACTAAAGGATACAACATTTTTGATTTTAATTACGAGGTATTCACCAGCTTAGCAGCTGTTAACTCAACACATGTTTCGGTCTCTGTAAAATCTCGAAACAGTAAAAGAGAGAGCAAGTGAGAGCGGGAGAGCAAGAGAGAGAGTGATCTCGCATGCGCGCCGAATGTTCGTTGAGTAGACGAACCAAAGCGAAATCCAAATATATACGAATGCATCCACCGCCGCGCGGACAATCGTCGAAATGCTATACGCGAGGTACGGTCGTTTTGAATCAAGTTCGAACGGTCGAAGCGGTCTTGTCGCGTGAAAAACTGAAAAAGCCGGCAAAACGATTGTTGTTGAGTGGGAAAACTGAAGCGAAGCAAGTGTGTTGTGATTGAGAAAAAAGCGGTAGCCAAACGAGCCGTTTAATGAGCAAACAAGCTGGCCAATAACCATTAACCATCAAGGAATCGTGATAACAAAACGGAGACGCAAGACCAGACAGCAATTTGTTAAATTTTTTCAAAAACGTCGTGTGTGTTCCTCTCCTGGCAGCAACAAAATCAAAAACCAGTAATTTACCAGCATTTAAATTGCATTTATTTAGGATTTATTAAAGTTTTGGAAAAAGAGAAACAGCAAGGTCGTTGGGGTCAAATGTTGTAATCATGCAAGTGACAAAAAATTTAAATTCGAGTAAATAAGAAATTAAGAAATAAAGTTTGTAATAAAAAGGAGACACGGATATTTCCCTACATTCTCTTTTCTAATTTTATTTGAGCATCTTCGCGTCGCGCAACGGTAAATCTTTCGCCCTACGTGTTCAGTGCGTGTTTGAGTGTGCGTTTTTCGGTTTTGTTTTCATCTACTCCTTGCCGTTTCTTCTCTCTTTTTCCACCTTCAATTGCCATCTCCTAATTTCTTCTACAAAACAGAAAGAAATAAAAAAAAACGAAAACCAAAAGTAAGTGCCGCTACTTCTATTCCTTATATGTGTTATTGTAAAAGATTTGAAGCCATGTGTGTGTGTGTGTGTGAGGGAGATTTTGTGTGTGCCAGAGTGTGTTCCTGAGTGTGCGAGTGTGCAGCCTCCACCAAGCGCCGCATTTAAAGGATATTCCTAATCCGTTTTATTGATTGCAGGGCAAAAAGGAGAAACAGAAAAAAACAGCAACAACAAGAACTACACAGCTGGAGTGCTCAAATTGTTTGAGTGTGTGTGTGTTTAGTTGTTGTTCTCGGCAATCTGTGCCTTTTTTTTATGTTTTTATTCCCTTCTCATCCTCCGGGGTTGCTGTAGCTGTTGTTGTTGTTGGTGATTTTGTAGTGCCTGCTGTTTTCATTTCTCCTCTGTCGCTCTCTGTCCCTTTGCTTTTCCCTTCTAATTCTGACTCTTTGCCGGCTTTTTGTCGTCGCTGCCCACAGATTTCCTGGCATTTGTTAATTATTTATGCAACACTTCCTTTTGGCATTTCCTCTTCTGCATTATCTCCGTCCAATTGTTAATTTCCACTTATTCGAAATAATTCGAATTAGGCTATTTTTTTGGATGATTAAAAGGCAGATTGAAAAATTAAACTAATTCCTATAAACACATTTTTAAGATTTCATTTTACTCAAATTTTGCTTATATTTTAATCATAAAAATTGTAAGGAGAGCCTATTGGCTCAAATTTTCAAATTGGAAATTCTTCGATTAATAATAATAAAGCTCAAATTTGTAAAAAATAATAAAAATACGAGGTGTGTTCAAAAAGTAAGGTGACTCTTCAAATTTCGCGAATTTCAAATTTTTCGATTATCGATTTTTTTGTTTTGTTATATTGGTACACTCTTCCCTAACATCTGTACCAAGTTTCAATGGAACATCCTCTTTTGTTTGGTTGTGAGAGGCGTAAAGTTACAAGTTGTTTTGCGAGCTCGGCGATTTTTTGCTATCGAAAAATATGGATCAAAGGATTTGGATTTTTTGGCCAAAAACAACACCACAATAATGCCTCAGCCACCATATTCACCGGATTTGGCCCCATGTGACTTTTTCTTGTTCCCAAAACTGAAGATAATCGAAAAATTTGAAAAATTTGAAATTTGAAAAGTCACCTTACTTTTTGAACACAACTCGTATAACTTCTAAAAGGTTTCGATAATCGAAAAATTTGAAATTCGCGAAATTTGAAGAGTCACCTTACTTTTTGAACACACCTCGTATGGCTTAACATTAACTTGGCGGAAGATTTTTTAATTGTAATAATTTATAAGGTTTTTTTTGTAAATATTTGTAGAGCTTAGATTCCAAAAATATGTTTAAAAAAGGAAATATCAAATTTAATGTTGTCAATAAAAAGACAAAAGTTGCTATAAACTTTAATGCAAAAAAAAGTGAAATGTGTTGTGTAAAATTCCAAAATATTAGAAATCATATATTAATAATAATATAAATTCCAAAATATTTGAAATCATATATTAATAATAATATAAATTTCAAAATATATTTCAAAATAGAATAACAAAAATTCACAATTTTGATAATCCGTGTCTGGCCGTGATAATATTATTAATCAAATTTTGTTTATAATTAATTGCTCTCTGATCTCTGGCAATAAATTTCCTGAAACTGACAAGCCTTAAAATACATTAAAAATAATATTTTGTTCGTTAATTAAGAAAGCTTTCAAAAGTCATTTGAAAATGTTTTTTAAACACCTGTCGCGGCAGTGTCAAAATAAAACGTTAAAGTTTCTGACTTTTGGACACCAAAATGATTGTCTTTAAATCTTTAAATCTGAGAAACACACCTTGTTTTTTTTGCCATTTATTTTGCGTTCTTTCTCGCTTATCTCTGGCTTATAATGCTTGCACTGCTGCGTTCCATATCTCTGAGAATAACTTCATCAGAAAATTAAGCGAAATATGCCAGGCACCTGCCCCCGTGGGCATAACTCAATAATCACATCAAATGTCGCCACTGGACCGCCTTGTACCCTTTTTGGCCTGCCCCGCTCTTTCCTTTCACCGAACACTTCCTGGAGCAGCAGTCGCAACACCTCCTTAAGAGGTGTGTCCAGTCGCCTGAGCTTGCCCCTGCCCATGCCCCTGTCCTCAAAGATCCCAACAGAGCTCCCCAGCTTTTCAGTTTCCCCCAGCTAATGCCGCACAGCTGCGCGCCATTTAAGTCGCTGACAAGTGTTTTGCCGGCATCTCCGGAATGCGACGGATACGGCGAGGTGGAAAGAGACCTGGCTGGCTACCAGGTTCCAAGTTCCAGGTTCCAGAGCCACAGAAGCCGCAGCAAAAAGTGGCAGCCAACATTGCTACCAATTATGCGATAAGCGAGAAGAGCCAGCGGAGCCTCCTTGCCACAGCACCTGATGCTATTTCACCTCACAATTGTGAGAAAAACTTAAGCAAATACAATGCGGGTTAGCAAATTAGATGCTAAAACTTTTGGGCCATTTCTTATATTCTAAAGGCTGTTATTTCTTAAACAAATTAAGTTACTGAAATTAAGCATTTATGCTTTAATTCGTGGTTAAGCAAAACTTAATTGTACCTCTATAAAGTCTGCAATTACAGACATGGAAAATCATGTATGTAGCTGATCAAATCAAAATCTACATAAAGTATAGTTGTCTTGAACGTTTTCCACTATTATTAAAGGCTATTAAAAGAGTGGTTAAACTATCTACAATTATGTCTACATGAGTGTTAGATAATTTTTTTGTAATAACTAAAATTTTGTCATGTTCTTTAATGTTATGAAATTAAGGCTTGAAAGTTGGTTGTTTAAAAGTGGAAAATACTACAAACAGGAAGCAGGAAAATAGTTCAATTAAACCATAAATAAAAGTATAAATTAATATTAAAGAAACATTTTTAACATAAGTGCACCTTTAACCGAAAATGAAAACCCCTTAAAAGCCCCCAAAAGAAAGCAAAAGTCGCTTCGGCTCTTACACTTCCCACACTTTTCAATTAAAGCCCATTTTTTCTTCGCACTTTGCTCTGGCAAGTTCGTGCAACTTGCAGGCGAACAACGTGTTAACATGGCCAAAAGCGGTGGGAGACCCCTGGCTAATGAAGTGATTAGACTGCGATTTCGCTGATGTTGTGTTTTCCCTTTAAAGAGTATACGAAAAAAAGCATAATAATAATGGAAAAAGCAGAGAAAAAAACAACAAAAAAAAGAGAAAAATAAAATTGGATGGGGAAAACTAACAAAAGGCCGCGTGCGCAGCCATCAAACGAAACGAAAAGCGTGCAACTGCAACAAAAACACCGGCAAGAACAAGAGCAGAGGAATGACCTTATATTGCAACTGCAAGTCAAACAAAGGGCCGCTAATGGGTGGCATTTGAGGGGGGTTCTTTTCGTTACGAAAGGCAGCAAAGTGGGGAGAAGGAGGACTTAAAGTCCGGCTGAGGAGCAGTGCAGCCCGAGAACCGGTCGATGCCCATTGGAGTCCCACTCTCTCGCCCAGCCGTGCGGCTACTGCGGGGCAATTGGGCCAAAAGCATAAAAATCAGTCAAGAGTCGCCTCCGCCAGCTACGTTCAGCATTAAAAGCGACAAACAAACAAACAGACGGACACTGAAGAAAAATAAAAATATAAAATAATCGTAAAGATAATCGGGGATATAAAAATGGGGATTATATAGGTACTGAGAGGAAAACTTCTTTGCAATAACTCAAAATTTTACATTTGAGTATTAAAGGAAATTAAACACCTATTGAAACTAACTCTTAACCGAGCCTTTGCCATTTTCTAATCTTTGTAAAGTATATCCCATACTTTTAAGATTTGTTCTTCTTTATTTTAAGAAGATTTCCTTAAGAAAAGCCTTGCATATTTCTCTCTGTGCACGAACAGGAGTGCAACTCCCCAACTGGGAATCGAAACGGGAGTGGGAATGGGACTCTGGACACTGGACAGTGGACGACTGTGGGCTAGGGAATACGAATGGTACTGCGACTGGGCCTCTGACTCGGACTCGAACTCGAACTCGCAGTGAAGCTGGGAGCTGTAGCTATAGCTGGACCTGAAACCTGGACACTCGCATCCAAAAGGCCGCCCGTGCAGGCGCAGGCAGCGCTAAAATCGATTTTCTCGCAAACTTGGCCAGGACAGGCAGCCGCAGGGCCAACAACTACTCGCTGTCCTCAGCCCTCTGCCATGCCCTGCTCCATATCGTCTCATTCCCCCCGATACCATTCCCATCCCCAATCCCATTTTCCGCCTGCTCTTGCCCCAAGTCCATCTGCAGAGCCTCCTGTTATTCTGGCTGTAATGGATATGGTAGAGGCGCGCGCGGTTTTCGTACCGGAGGTCCTCGTGGATTACCAGGGTATATTGCTTTTGACCATCAAAATGTAATGGTCAGAAGTATGAACTTAATGGGATATAAAGTTTATACGCATTTATAGAGATTTAAGTACAGTTAAAGAGTTTTTAAGGCTAATATATTAAAAATGGCTATTAAAAGTTCTTTAACTTTAGGACTATAAAAAAGTTCGATAAAAAAAGTCTTTTTTAAACATGAAAGTCCTCTTTTGAATTAATTACTTTATAGATTAAAACTAACCATTTTGTTAATAACACATTCCGCTTACTTTTGCTGTCTTCTAACTACCAATCAAATTGGTTTTCAACTTGTTTTTTAAACTGTTTTATACCAAAAAAGAGAGTTTATAATTGCAGAAACGGGTATCGTATAGTCGAAAAGCTTGACTTTGGCTCACTTACTGGTTAATGATGATTCCTTTGATGAGGATGATGGCGGTGCTGATGATGATGATGATGACGATGCGGATGATGATGGGGATGATGCGGCGACCACGGTTTCGCTGATTTCGCTGCTGGGGTCTGCTGGTGCAGCTAAAATTGCAAGTCAAACTGTCGTCGCTCGGCGTTGTTTAGTTGTTTTTACTCGTGGCATGGCGCTGTTTCTTCTCTCCCTCTCTCTATCACTCCTACTCCATCCGCCTCCGTCTCCCTCTCTTTCTCTGCTTTCGTAATTGCAATTGCAATTTTCTCCAACTGCAAGTCCGGCTCTAACTTCTACTCCAGGTCCGGCTCCCGCTCTTTCTACTGCTCCTGGGGGTTAGTAAATCTGCAAATTGCATTCGGCTAGCAAATTTAGTGGCAGCCGGAGTCAAGTCCAGTGCTCTGAGTTATTTAATTTGGGTTATAAATAAATTTGTTTAAAGCAATAATTCGCCATCCGCTGGGGGAAGGTAAATCTAAAAACAACAAGAAAGGAAAAGGTTCTGATGTTAAGTTTGTTTAGGAGCCATAAAGTTGGATTTTACTAGATGAACTTATGACTTTTCTATATGAGAAGTTTCCCATTGCTTGGATCTTTTCACGAAATGCCTTCTATATAAATGACAGATAGACATATTTTACGCGATCTTTTAATTAAAAGAAACATTTCGAAATCATTATTTATAAATTGGCAAACTAGACATGATTCTGGCATCTTCGAAACATCACTCTTTGCAGTTTTCAACATAATACCAATTTATAAAAGTCGGCAATAATCAGTTCTGAGTGGCTACACTCACTAACGAATGGTACTAATTGAAATCATATTGCATTCAGTGGGGTTTATTTTTCCCTTCCTCAGCAAGGGGGGGGAGTTGGGCTGTCAGAAGGCCAAACCAATTCCCGAGAAGAACAACATAATTCGAGGCCAGCAGGGGTGAGAGGGACAACGAGCGAGCATGAGCATGCGACTATGTGATATGCAGCAGTGCAGCATCCAAGTTGAGTATCGAGATTCGAGCATCTAGACACGCAAGGAGCAGCAAGAGCTGCTACAACAGCAAAAGCAACAGCATTTGCATTTGGCCCGGACAGCAATTACCGAAGCTGGCTCATGATGTTGGCCTCATGATTCTCTGCTGGCCTGAAGCCTTTGCCACCTGCTTGTCTGGGAAATCTCTGGGTGTCTTCTCCTGCTCCTTGCCAAAACCCCATGCCCATCATATTTGCAGACGCGGTCACAATAATAGGAGCTAATGTGGTAGTTTAGAAAAGAAAAAGAATATGTAAAATATATTTTAATATATATTTCCTCATCTAGTAACTTATAATAGAAAGTCTTTAAAATAATCTCCTACTAATAATAATCTACTATTTTGTCCACAACTGTGACTGCGTGTGTGTTCCCAGCAGCTTAACTGACGTGACTGTCAATAGAAGGAGCAAGATGGGGGAAGGGGAAGGAAGGAGGAGCAGAAAGGAGGTGGGGCTGGTACTAGGGAGGTGGCTTTATATAGGGGGCCCCATAGAGTCGGAGGGGGAGGGAGACCCCTTCGCGTTTTCATGTTTTTCAAGTTGTCTGCAAACGACACCCAGCGACGTCGCCTTTTGCACTGATTTTTGCCTTGGCGCTGCTCTGCAGGCTCATCAGAGAAAAACAACAACAACAAATCAACAGAGGCAGGGGCATCAATGACAACCAAACAACAAGCAGCAAACAAAATCATGGATATAGTATATGGTAGAGATGATAAGCTAAGAGGTACCCTGTAAGATGGGATATGATAGGTTAGGTAAAAGTTATTATTTATGGGATATTCTAAACAATCTGATTAAGGTAGTTAGAAAAATGAAATGAAAAATAATATGTTATGGAGTTTTTAAAACAAAATTATAAGCTAAAATCTATGTAAAAACACTTAATGAATGCGTTAATCCAGGTCCAACCAATCTTAAAACCTACATACCCTGTTTATCTTAGAGATACAAGGACGACGACGACATCGTTTTATGAAGGATAGACCTTGGGCTGCATCTTGCAACCCTTTTGGAAGCCCTGCGCCCCCATTCCATCCTATATATACATATATCCTGGATATATATAGAAGGATGGACCCGCATCATCTCTCATTCAGAAAGAGAGCTTTGCTGCATTTTTGCTTCTTCCTCAGCGGCTCTTGTTCCTCTTCCTGTTATTGTTGTTGTTTTGGTTGTTTTTGTTTATTTTGTGTTTGCAAGTTGTTGCTGTTGTTGTTGTTGTTGTTGTTTTTGCCATTGCTTTAATTATTGTTCCGTTTCGTCTGGCATTTGCCGCTGCACTTTTTCTTCATGTTTTTCTGTTGTTTTTTCATCAGTTTTTGTTTTGGTTCTTGTTTTTTTTTGTTTTTATTTTTATTTCGTTTTATTGCAGTTCTTCAGAGAGAGGGGGAAGAGAGGTTGAAAATAACACAATAGGCGCACCGAATCACTTAAATCATTCACAGCTTGGGGCGGATGTGTAATGGATATGGCTGATTGAAGAGGGAAATAATCATGCAGAGCAAAAGTGCATCGGTTTTTGTAAAGTTTTGTATTTATTTGGGTTTTACAGATTGCAATTTGTGATTGAATTTGATTGGAAGTTGCTTATTTATACTAAATATGGATAATAAAGGGTGTTATTCGGACTTTAATATAATAATAAGCACTTTAAATTGCAGTTTTTGCTATAACTAAAGTCATTTTTGTAGTCATATTCAGAATTTTAGCTTAAAAGTATGAAAAACATTCCAAATACATCTTAATAAAATGCGTTTAAAGCAAATTTCTTACTTTAAGAATAGGCAAACTCTCTCTAATCCAAAAAACCTGTCTGAAAACCAGGTACCTGTAACCAAGTGCTCATCCTAAGAGGATTAGTCTAGAAACCAACAGCACGCTGCATGCTGCACTTCGCTCAATTGGTTTCGCCTCAGTCACTTGATAAGATCGTTGATCCATTAATTCGTTTCGGCGCTCTGTTATTCCTTTGTGATCCCAAAGTCCTCTTCTGTTTCCTCTTCTTTTTTTTTGTAGACAGTGAATGATGCCAGTTGGTGATTCATTTTCGACTTTTGTCCGCATTGTTTTGTTCCCTTTTTGGGGGAAATTCTCGCATGTAATTATTTTAAAGCGTTTTTCGCTTTTTTTGGTTTTTTTCTGCTATTAAATGTCTGTGGAAATGCAATTGCAAGCGACTCTCTCCCGTGAACTTCTAAAATCCAAAGCGAAACCCAACCGCCCAAAAACATTTCACTTTTCTTTGTGCCAAAACGAGTAAAAACAAAGACACAAAAATACAAAAACGAAAATAAAGAAAAACACAAATAAAATGCAAAAGTTCGAAGCCCCCGGAACGCTTTTCCCGGTTACTTTAACTGCCATGGCAAAAGGAGCAATAGCAGCAGCAGCAGCAGGAGCAGCTTCAGCCAGAATAATACAAAAATAAAAGCCGAGCGAAACGAAATAAACAAATCAAAATGGAAGAGGACGAGCCACGAATGCAGCCAGGACCTAGAGTTTTCCAGGCTCCAGCTCCTCGGCGAACTGCAACGTTCCAGATACTTTTTCATACCAGCACGGAAAGAAATAATAATATTAAAGGATAAAATCAGAAGTAGTTAATGCTGAAAGAGTAATTATTTAATCAAGCTCGAATCTAGGAGGTTGAAGCTTTTCTAAAACATAAATAAAATATTTTAAAAATCAAGAAACCATTCAAAAACCTTTCTAAGATTGACTTAAAGGTTAATATTTCAAATAAAATTATAATTAATATCAAAATCACCTTTAATTTTCTCTCTCTGTGCCGTTGTTAGCCATTTTTGTGTGACTTAAATTGCATTTTATTTCTGCAACGTTGCAAAACATTTATTTACTTTCATGGTTTGTTGAGTATTTGCCAAGCCACAAGGAACTACTGCAACGACAAGGCATGAAATTCGCCAAGGATAAGGACGATGATGATGATGTAATGATGACGATGTGGCTGAGGATGACGACGTCGACGACGATGTCGGAGTTTCAAACAGGCGAGCGGAACTGTTGACTGCTTTTGAACTTGTGCGTCGTCGTCCTCGGCAATTGCATCCTTAGACAATGACGCGTCCATTGAAGGCGGCAGCAGAATGAGTTGAATCCACAGAGTTGCAGACATTTTGACAAGCGACAGTCTTCTTTTTTTAAAAATTTTCCTTTTTTTTTTTTGGCATTTTGGCAAGGGTGTGCCCTTTAAGTAGCAAGCCGATTTCGTGAAAGGGCTTTGGCTTATAATTATTATTATTATTATTTGGAATGCACTTTTTGAAGGGTTTTTCCTCAAGGAGATTACAAATTTTCACCCATAATGAGGTTATAGGAAAGGGTTTTATTTTATATATTTATTAAAATTACAAAATATTTCTAAAAAAATCAATTAGTATTACTAACTCAAAAAACAATATTTTTACTTTTAGATTTTGAAGACCAAAACATTGATAATCTAAATCAAAATTACTTTTTACTACTTGACAAATTGTAAGTATTTTTTCTAAATTATTTTTGTTGATAGAAACCACTAGAAAATGTAGAATAATGAAAAAGTTTGACAGAAGTTTTCACAACCTCAAATAGTTAGTATAAATTATAGACTTTTTGCCTTTTGAGTAATCTGTTACCAGGCGAATTATTCAGATGAAGATTTTTCAACACTCTTGGTATTGAAATTGATGAGGCCTGTGCACTCTGAGCCTGTCCTCCGTTGCCGCAATTATGCGCTAATTAAATGCTACATAATTTTTTGAATGCCGAAGACAACTAAAAAATGCATAACATATGTTGCACAGCCCGAAAACGCTGGCATCTTAGTCTCCAGTTTACAGTCTGGGTTTCTCAGCTCAAAAAACCTCAATACCGACGGAGAACCAGAACCGCTTTTGTATGCCCTCTGTCTGGGTGAATTGTGGCCTCATGCCTTGGGCTCGGGGCATAAGAAACAATTTTCAGGCACACACAAAATGAAAAAAGAAAATAAAAAAAGAAGCAGAAGCAGCGGCAGCGGCAGCCATAACCATAACATGTTTTGTTATTAATTATAGTTTACGCAATGCAGGGGACAGGCCGAAGACAACAACAGTCACAGTCAGTCAGGGATCGAGGCTGGCTGGCTGGCTGGCTTGCTGGCTGGATGACTGGCTGGGCAGGAAGCTCGACTTGACCATGTGCTCCTCCTCCTCCGGCTGAAAGATCCTCCTCTTCACTAAAAAAAAAGAGTTCACTTAATTTGACGCACAAATGTCAGTCACAAGATGTTGTTGAACCGCGTCAGTTGGTCGGTTCGGTTCTTGAGTTTTTGGGTTCGTTCGCCTTGCAGCCTGCCACAGCCTTCAAGCCTGTCGTTACTTTAGTTGTTAAAATAACTCAATAACTAATCCTTTTTGATGGTAGACGAAAGGGTTGTTGTTTGCCCAGGGCAAGTCAAGGCAAACCATGTGTTCCATCGCCAAGCAAGAGCCTTCACTCAGCTTGACAATAAAAATTATCATAATTATATTTAAATTAATATGCAACAAGGGCCAAGCCAAGCCGGCAATTTCCGCGCTTCTGACAAATTACAGGAAATGCCAAACACCAAAAAGGGTGCTTCTAGCGGTGTGTTTTTGGTGTTAGTTCACAAACTGTTTATATTAATTAGGAACTCTGGACGAGAGTAGCTTCACACTCTGTGAAGAAGACCAATAGAAGTCGCACCCACTCGGCCATATTTATGACAAGACCTTTTCAGGGAAGGAGAACATATTTTTTATGACCGTTTCAGTTGAATGATTACGTTTTCACACCTTTCAATCAATGAAACAAAAAGGTAGTTTTACCTAGAAAAAAAGTTAATGAATAGCAACATTAGGTAATGGATAAGAAATTGAAAAAATTATGTTAGAAAAACATGCTTAAATTTGGTTCTTATATCTGGTTCTAACTTATACAAATCTTCAAACATTTTGTAAATATACTTCTCCCAGTCAGTTTTCTTGATAATCCCCTGGCCAAGCTCAATGTCATTAACGCTCCTCAAACTTCATCGACTGACAGTCAAGAAGTTGCTAAGCCTAACGACAGACTAAAGAAGACTTTAAGCCGCCTTTGGACTGAATTCGATGGCAAGGCAAATTAATCCAAAAGCAAGACAAATAACCAGAAACTTGTAACAAATGCTTAGGACATTAATTATGCAAACAGAAATAGAAATAGAAATAGAAAACAAAGACAAAGACAGACTAAATCGTTCTGTTTATCTAAATCATGAGAGCGGCATTTTAAAAATCATTAATCATCTAAGCTGATGACTAAGGCGACGTGAGCAAAGCAAAGCAGAGCCAAAGTTAAGCAGAAGTTTCGAATTAAATAATTAAAATCACATTGGCTGCGTATGTGGAAATAACTTAATTATTTAATTTATGCCCAACGAGTTGTCATCAAAAATGCAATAAAAAAAAAAAAGTTGGAAAATCCGAAAAACATTTGTCAAAGCCAGGCCAGGACTCGCTAGCTGAAATTAAAAATTTGCATAAATTTGCAATTGAATTGACAGAGAGCGTGGGAGTTGACAATATTAGTTTTTAATTGCCATATAAATTATAAATAAATTCACGCTTTTCTATCCACGCAGGCATTCCAAATGCGAAATAGTTTGCATAAATTATTTGCCACTGAATTTAGACTGAGTGACTGACTGCCTGACTGACAGACACCTGGTTAAAGAATGTCCCGAAAAACTGCATAACAATGTAAATTAATTAAAATATTTATAAGCCTGTGCCGAAATCAGAGAGGATGTGGCCCAGCTAATTGATAATTAAATTAGGAAAAATACTTATAGTTTGAACTTAAAATGTTATTTGTTTTTCTGTCTATAAACTAATATATTAGTTACCATCATTAAGCTCTTCTGTTCTTCATTAGTTTAACCTCTGAATTTGTTTATTATTTATGACTTTCATTAGGCTTAACTGTCCTCTTCGTATTCCCACGTTTTACAAGCATTTAAATACAAAATAAAAAAAATAAAGCAACTAAAACAACAAATTAAGCTTTGTTTACATTACCAAATTCATGTTAGATTTATTGCCATTTTTTATGTGTTATTATTGCTTTTGGGTTTTGGTCTATAATTTATTTAATGATGCTTTTAATGTGGCTCGATTGGAGTTTTTGTTGCCAGTTGCTGGCCATAATAATGGTGGTGTTTAGTAGCAGCTTTGGGCTATTTGCATTGCATTTTAGCCACCATATGCATAATGAGTTTAATTGTCGGTCCGTTACTTAATTGAATACATTAATAACAAAAGCGATTCAGATTGAAATCTATGTGTGAGTGTGTGTGTGTGTATGGATTACAAGTTAAACAACTCTTGACATTTAAGCCCCGTTTTCAAGTCAAATTAAAAGCAAATAAAAATCCAGAGGAGACAGCAAGCGGACCAGGTTGTTAGCTCTAAGCTGTTAACTTCACATACATGGCCAAGAGTCAGCGATTTAGATAGCAATAAAATGCAGCTCACCTCAGCTGAACTGCACATGCTCCATTACCAATTCAGAAATCTTTTAGGCCGCGTCGGCTAGAGAGCAATGGGGAAGCATGTTGCAACAACCACGTCAACAACATTAGAGAAGTCACGAACTGCGCCAGGAACACGCTGCCACAACAACAGTAACAGCAAGAGCAATGGCAACAGCAACAGCAACAGCAACAGCAACATCGGCAGGAGCAGCAGCTAAACTGTAAACATAAACAAAACATTTATGACTATTTACAGTTGAGCCCAAGATTTGAACTCCAACTGCCATGGGTTTTCCATTTAGTTTTCTTTTTTTCTCTCTCTCTTTGAGGGTGGGGTTGCTGGCTCATGTACGTGGGCAATATCTCCTCGTGTTGCTGTTGCTAGTGCCGTCGATGTTCCTGATGAAGTTCAATGAGTTTTCGGGTGTGAAAGGGTCAATTGTGTAAATAATAACGAAGAACTGTGAACAGCAAACACAGCAGCAGCAGCAGTAGGAGCAACAGCAGCAGCAGCAGCAGAAGCAGCAGCAGCAACTAGGCAACCGAAATCGAAAACTGGGAAATGGAGGGGAAAAATCCGAAGGGGTCGAAAGGGCTCATAAAAATATCACACGCATATAGGAAAAGCGTTTGCGATAAGCATTGCACTATGCAAACAGCCAGGGACAAACACAAACAGACAGCGAGCACACACAAGCCGAGCACCTAGAATGTAGGTACAGTGGGGATTGGGATAAGTGGATTTGGGGAAACATATTAGAAGAGTTCTTAGAAATATGTCTGGTTGAAAGCAACGAAAATTAAGTTTAAAATTGTGAGTTTTAAGAGCAGAAAAGTTTAAAATATTTTAGGATAAATCTGGTAATTAGAAATATATTAAAATTCGATGTAAAAATATTTATATTTTAGAAGTAAAACTGTAAAATGATTTTAAAAAATATTTTTGATTACCAAAAATATCAAAAACATGAAAAATGTTTATAATTACCATTAAAATACAACCAAAAAACTCTTTTCCTTAATCAAATATCATAACTTAAAACCCATTCTTAACTCCTACCCCTTAGCCACCGTTCACTGTACCCAATAAAGAGTTCAATTGCTATCGAAATATAGGCAGTGGGCAACCGATACGGGAGAGGGACATAGGGTTTTCAGTTTTATTCTTTTTATGATTTTATATTGGGCCAGACAGACTGCCGCTTTTTTATGATGCAATTAAATATTGTGTTTAATGCATTTGTAAATAATAATAATAAATAAAAAGAAAAATATTTACTACAGCAATCACGATAATGCAGCCGAAGGGGGCAGTTTGGGGGAGATATCGTGGTGGCATGGCGATAACCCGATAATGAAGTTGAAGTTTCGAATGGCTCTCACATGGCGGGTTTTGCTTTATTTGCCTACAGGAAATAAAATTGCCATAAAAAAACTGACTGTCTCTGTCTCTGTCCAAGCGTGTCTCATAAATGCATATAAATTATTACAGTAAATACGTGATATAGTGGATAGGAGAGGAGAAGGAGGAGGAGTAGTTAACTGAATCCCATCTAACCTAAGCCGGGCCTTTTAGTCCAGCTGGCTGAGCATTTGACGAGGCAATTTGGTTTTTATTGCAGCCGTCAATTGTCATTATAATCGAGCATTTAATGGCAACTTCAGTTCATGGCCCACATGTTTGCTCCTCTCACTCCCACTCTCTTTTGGAAAATATAATAAAAAAAAAAGAAGATGAGAAAGGAAAAGCTTCTGCTAATTGATTTTGAAGTGTGGGCTTCCATTTGACATGCATAATCTGCATTTAAGTGTCTTGAGCGCCAGCGTTGACAATTGACATGGGATTAGTTTTGGGGCCAGCAATAAAAATTACTTCTAAGTGGCTTTCAGATATAGTTATATATATGTATCATGTATCTCCTCGATTGAGCTTCTGTGAAATAACATGCTGTTCGATTTTTGAGCTGGGAATTATGATTTTCATTGTTATTTTGAAATGCTGTCAAGGAATTAAGTTAGCTTTAAGTTAGTTCAGGTGCAGGCAGCATGGCAATGGGCTTAGATTGTTAAATTGGCTTAGGTAATATAGCTGGCTCGCTGACTGACTGAAAGATTAAACCTTAAACAAGAATATGCATTTTGTAACAACAATAAAGATTACCTTATAGCAATTTCCATTTATTAATAAAGTTTACCAACTTTAATTAAGTATTTAAATACTTGATTCTAAAAATGATTGTTCCTCTAGAACTTCACCAAGGGTTTCCGCACTTACAGGCCATTAACAATGTCAAAGACTGCCTTCCAAAGGGGTCCTTTAGTTAGTCCTTTATCCCACAATCAATGCACTTTGCCCCTTGCCTGTTTTTTCACTGCATATTTTAAGTGTGTGCGTGGCAGGATGCAAATGCAGCAGGACCAACAATAGAGCTGTCAAAGATGCAAATGTCGAGTGTGTGCGTTGGGTTTTTTTCTGCTTTTTCGTAGGGTTCTCAATCGATTTGCATCCGCAGGCTACTTAAGGACTCTTTGTTTTGGCTAACTGAACAATAAAAGAAAATATATATATATATATATATATATGAAAACCCCTTGGCATGCGTGAGCCTGGGTTAATTGAGGAGCCCCTCAGCGAAGAGGGCTCAATGTCACATAATGCTCAATCAAATTAGGGCTCAAGTTGACTCAAGTAATTAAATCTAAAACCAACAATTGCCGCACTTGAAACCCAAGAAGAGGCACGCACACGCACACACACACATACTGCGGGGTAAACTAGCCGTAAATAGCAACAATTTTCATATTAATTTTCATAATTTTCCAATGTTGACAGCACAGCAAACACAAATACACGTTGGTAAACAAAGAAGGCAGGGAAAGGAAAGGAAAGGAAAGGCAAGGAAAAGGAGCTGGGAAAAAAGTGTAAGGGATACTTGGGCAGGACAATGGGGGGTAAAACACTGAACCTTGTCGTTGGTCACTTGTTGGTCAACGACAACCTGCTGTGAGAAAGTGAGTTAGTATGTGTGTAGTATCTATGTGGCGACAATTTGCCTAATAACACACTGGGCAGAAAAAAGGGGAGTGTTTGCTTTGCTTTTCAAGCCTCTGACTCTGACTCTGACCACCCACTCCTGCCTCCTGCCTTGCGGTTAGTTTGAACTGTTGACTTTGCGGTGAGCACTTTAAATTGATTAAGTTGAATTTGTCTAGCGGCGCCACCGCCTTGCGGTCTTAACCCACCTGCGCCTCCCCCATCTATCTACATAGCCTGGGTACTTAATGCCACACAAACTGCTGCAGCTGCTCTTTGATTAATTCATGTGTGGAGTACGGAATGGTGGAAAGGCAAGGCAAGGCAAGGAAAGGAGTCGTCTGTTCTGCTCTCTAGTGATGTGACTCTACTACTGTGTGACTCTGCAACAACTCGTGAGACATTAAAACACTTGAATGCCAAAAAACTTTGCAGCAATTTGTGTCGACTTGGCCAGAAGGAGTTTTCAGCCAGAGTTCGAGTTCGCGCTCGACTTTTGCTGAAGCCTCAAAGTCGGAATATGCACAGGGAGAAAAAGGCTAGGGAATTAGTCAAAATTGAGATAGTTTTACAAAGATGTTTTTGTATCTTTTTTCTCAATGCATCCTGTCACTTTGCCTGGCTGGCTGGCTGGCTGGCAAAAAACTTTCCAAGTCAAGCGTTGAAATTAAACTTTAGAGCGAAATTGTGAGTGCCCCAGACAACGACTAAACTTACAAGTCACACAACAAAGGCAGTCAAGTGAGCGGACAAAAAGCAAGGGGCAGGAAGGCAGAGGCAGCTGACGATGAGTTGAATGTCATCCCAGCCGAAAATTAATTTTCCAACGCCCAGCTAAAGAACACCTCATCAACTTTGTCATTTTTTCTTTTGAGCATTTTGCTCCACTTAAAGTTTTTGCACCTTTTAAAGGGCTCACCTTGTCGAGCGATTTTTGTGCCATGTCATTTCATGCTTGAACACGATGAACTGACCAGAAGTTGTAAACTGTGTTGTGAAGATGCTACGAAATGAAACTTTTGCTGGCCGAAAACTAACCACAAGATTCCTCTGCTGTCTGCCAAGTTCTACTTCTCTTTACCTTCTCCCCCAAGCTTCACTTTAGTTTACACCTCCTGATATCCTCGTAGTCATAGTCTGGCTGCTCCTCCGGTACTCCTCTGGCAATCATATCAAAGTGTCAATGTACATGGTCAGGCTGCCTTGGACTTGCACTTTGCATTTGGTCAGCACGAAAACAAACTCAAACAGGAGAGGAAAATGGGCTTTAAGAGTGATGGGGATTATGGGATACTCTAGGAAAAGTGGTTATACGAAAATCCCTAAAAATGTTTGATATTTCTGGTTTTTCTAATTAATAGCTTAACACTCTCCTCTCTGTTCTTCTTTTCAGTTATATAACTTAAGGTGGTTGTCGCACAAAAGGTCATGGTGCTAATTAAATTCAAGGTAAGTTAAAAAATTCCTTAAAACACTAAAAAATATTCCAAGAAATTTTCTAAGAAACATAAAACTTCTCCTTGCCTATGTAGGTTACCCCCTTTTTTTTTTGATCCTTTTCCTAATTCAATTTACCATTTTGTTGATTCTTTTCTTAAGCTCTGTAATTAATGTCTTGTGGCCTCGACATCAAGTGTTCACTGTACTTGGGCAGAGTACTTATTGCAGCCATGGCTGTAGTTGCTTTCAGCTGAAGAGCCCACCATGTCTGGTGCATGGGCCTACAATCGACGACGCCTCCACACACACACACTCCAGTTGTCTCCCCCTCAAGCCCCGCCCACTATCCTGTTTCTCCCCCCTTGTCTCACGCCCCCTTTGTCACTCTGTCCATGTCTTGTCCTGATTCCCGCGCCCCAGCTACAATTGCAATTTGTGCACTTTACGCTGCCAGTTTGAAAATTGTGCACACATTCATGAGGCAAAGTGGGGTGAAGGAGGAGGAGGAGGTGGAGGAAGGGGAAGGTGTGGGCGGGGTGTAAAGAGTTGGTAGGGGTGGAAGGGGAAAGTGGTGCCTCAGTCTCGGGCTGAGTGAAATTTTTGTATCTTGGCGAGTTTGCGCGGAAAATATTCCGAGTTGTCGTTGCACTTGAAAAATGTTGTCAAAAAAGGGAAATTTTGATGTTTGGAAATGGGATGATGAAAATATGATGAAAATCTAAAGGGAAATTTTGTGAAAATCCTTTTGAATAAGCAACTACATTAGATCTTTAAGTCTTGGTAACTCGTTTTCACTCTCAGACTCATTTTTCTTAGTACATCAACTACTTAATTTTCCTCTCTGTACACCCGACCGAAAATCTGCTAGTCATTGTCGTCGTTGTCGCCCGAGATGCGAGCGTGCAACTAGCTCTAGCTGCATGCCACATAGTTGCTTCTCACTTGAAAAAGTTGCTCATTTTTACACACTTTATTTTTGGTGCACTTCGGTTCGGTTTTCAGTTCAGTTTGGGCTTTTGGCTTCGTTCGCTGCCATGTTGTACTGGGTTCCCTTGTTGCACTTACAACTTGGAACATTGTTTCAGCACTTAAGCGACACACACACACACATACACACACATACAAACTAAGCAACTGGCGACCAGGTGAACAAGGGGCTTGGGGGAGGGGCCAGAGGTGGCATTGGAACTGATTGAGCGGGATCGGGATACCAGAAAGAAAGAAAAAGAGAGGCTGGGGGCGAGATGAGAAGATGAGCAGGGCAACGGCATTCACTTTGCTGCTGCTGCCCCCCCACAGAGATGTGTGCGCTCAAATGTTTAAACATTGTGGCAGCCGCAGGAAAAAGTGGGAGGGGTTTCCACCAAAAGCAATCCCAAAAACTGAACTGAACCCAAACTGAACCAATCCACACACACATACAGAGATAGTGAGATTGAAGCAAACACACACAGATACATCGATGCTGTAGCCTTTTGTTTGAAGTTTGTCTTCGAATGGAAAACTTTTGTGAAAATTAATTACGAATTCGTGAGGTCAATCGTTTTTCGGTGATAATCGAGTGGGTGCCAAGCTCAAGGGAGGGGGAGGGTGGTAGGGGAAGCTACACAGGTTGTTTAAATGCGCTTTACAGCAGGGGGTGGGCTCTGCTTCCCCAACCCACCTTCTCTGGGTTTTTATGGATGCCCTGCTGAGTGTGTGAGAGTCCGAGTGCATTTTGGGTATTGCCACTTCCTCCTTGGGATTTTCCAAACACTACCTCATCATCATTGGCAGGGAAAATGGATTTTTCGGTTTGAAATAAACTCTTTTAAAGGTGATATATGGATTTCTTAGGGACTTAAGATCATACTGATCTTATTGAGTTTAAATTTTTCATTTTAAATAACATTCCTTGTTAAAATTTGACAAAAAGTGTCTTTCATTTTCATAAGTTACCTATAATGGTATATCTATTTTCACTGTAACTAACCAAGAACCATAACAAGTTTATAGTTAACTTAAAGTTGAAAGCTTCTCTAAAGTTCTGCCCTTCATTGTTGTTTTGGCTGTTTGTTTTTGGTTGTTTGGCTTATAATTTGGTAATTTGCAGTTTTGTCGTCGTCAACATTGTCGTGCCAAAGATTTTATAATTTTGCTCACATTTTCGGAAGTGGCTCCCACTGCTGTTGCTGTTGCTGCTGCTGCTGTGGCAATGTAGTTGCTGCTGCTGCTGCTGATGCTGCTTCTGCTTCTGCTGTTGCATTTTGCATAATTTTCCATTTGGCTGTGGCTGGAGCTTGTTGCGTGTCTGCCGGGGCAAGTCGTGAGGCGTAATTAAAGAGTTTATTTTATGATTTGCGGTTCGTTGATGCTGCTGCTGCTGCTGCTGCAGTTGCTTCTTTTGCTCCTTGGTGTATGAGATGCCTGGGTGGCCCGAAAGTCGAAGTTGATTTTCCAGATGAGCGTCTTTTTTCCCAAAGGTGCCTCGCAGCTAGTCGGGCATGGCATGCAGCTTTTGGGTTTTCAGATGAGAGCCCAGCCAGGCAGCCTGTGTGAGCCAGAGCCAGAGCCAGCCTTTGACGTTGTCATCGCACTTGTCAGCGGCACGACATTGTCCCCGCAAATCCCCTAGATCCGGAACCCGTTCCCGATCCCGAAAACGTTTTCGTGTCCTTTGCCAGGCCCTCGAGCCATTCGATGATTCTGTGTCGTCGTCTTGTTTGCTTTGGCATATTGGGGAGACATCCTCGACAGGCACTAATTTTAACTAAATAACTTTGATGAGTTGGCTTTGGGGGGCCGCAAGGCTTAAACCGAACCAAAACCTTTGCTCTGCCCTAGCTTAACCTTTGTTTAACCTTTCTTAAGCTGCAGTTTTTTTGTGTGCTGTTGCTGTTGTTGTTGTTTCTATTCCCATCCTAACATATTTGTTTAGGTGCTCGATGGGATGTCCTTTGGAAAAGGATTGTATTTGTATATTTAATATATTCAACGCACATATGGCGTTGACTGGAAAACCGAAAAACCCCTGCCTAAATGCTTTAATTAAATGAAATCTCATGGTTTTTCCAGATGGATCAAAGGGGGTGGGGGGGGGAGGATACAGGACATTGGCCGGTCCTGTAACACGTTTCACAGTTGCACGCACAACTATGCGAGATGCTGGCGACGGCGGGGCAACCATGGATCCGAGGGTTGTCAGGTCTGGCCATTCAAAAATTGAAAAACCAAAATTTAAGCTGGGCCAGCTTTTTGAATTTATGACCAAATGGCACACACCACATACACACACACACATATATATACACACATGGAATACGCATGGGAATGCATGTAAAAACTATAAAGGATCACAGGAAGGACGAGTTGGGCTGGGGGGTAGTTTTTGCCTGCCACTTTTTTTGGGGTGGCGATTGCGTAACACCACGTAATGGCATGAGCAACGGACATATATTATATGTATGTGGCGGGACAGCAAGGGGAGCATCTCTCCGCATGTTGGAATGGAAAATACATTTGATTAAAAGTTGATAAATTACCTCGAATACATTAGAGCTGGCACGAAGTCGGAATTTGTTGGGATATGGTCAGGAAAACTAAACAGAGAAGGGATTTTAAAAGGTTTAAGTAATATTAGTTTGGAATTAAGAAGGTCATTTCTCCTTCCTATAAATAGAATTTCCTTACAAATATTTCCAAATGTCTACCAAAATTAAGATACAAACCATTCCCAAGAATGAAGACCAACTTGTTCATTTCCTGGGGATTCGGAAGGATAATTTTCCTAACCACTTTCAAATTACTTTGTCCTCCCATTGCAAATCCTCTTCGATTGCAGCATTTTCGATGGCCAAGTTACCTCTAAGCAGGAAGAAGCAGATACATGCATTCCTTTCCTCCCTCTTTCTGGTCTTTAATCCCAAAACCAAAATCGTTTGCTAGAGGGACAGGACATGTCTCCTATCTCCATCTCTTGGCATAATGTGACACGTTTCGGGGTTGTTTTCTAATCCCAAAACGAACCAAAAGGCCAGAACGAAGAGAGATGAGGAGGTTGGCTAAGGGAATGTGCCACAACCTGACACTCTGGTGTCGGAGTTGTGAAATCAGGCAGCAAAAATTGCTCGGCTTAGCTACCTACCTGAGAAGCAGCAAGCAGCAAGAAGCTCATCATATCCCAGAGCAGCAGCAGCAGCAAGCGGCAGCTGTAAGATGGACACACAAAAAGACAATTATTCATGTATGCATTGGACTATAATGCTCTCTGTGTTCGGCTTGAAACTCACCTGAATGGCTTGAATGGCCATGCAGCATTTCACTTTGCATTATGTAAAACATTTTCACAGGCGACAAACATTTGCATGATTAACCATAATTGAAAATGTGAAAGAGATGGCTGTTGGCTGTGTTGCCACAACTGCCGGAATGCCACCTCCTTTTTGGATCTATGTAAGTCCAATCAGTAGCGCTCCATTCAACTCAATTTATCTACGCATGCCAGGCAGCCAGCCAGCCAACCTTCGGTTTTCTCAGCTGCCTTGTCAGTGAGTCATTTCAGCTCGGTTTAGCTTCAGCTAAGAGTTGAGTGGCTGAGAGTTGCCTACGGTTGGGTGGAGATTTTGCTTTTCCCGACTTTTTCGACCCCATCGTCTGGGAGTCCACGCCCTTTTCTGGGCTGTCTTGGAATTTGATGATTTTCGGCTCGGGCTTCTAAGATTGGCTTTGAAAAGTTTCGAAAACCGAAAAAATGAGGCTTACAAATTGTTAGAAAGTTGCAGGGCCTACTATCATGTTATAATTATAGTTTTAGTTAGGAGAAATCTGAATTTAATAAAATGATTTTCACTCATTTTTGATATAAAATACTTTGTAACAAACTCCTTAAGTAGCTATTCAGGTCACTTAATCAATTTATTATTCCCAAATCTAAGCTACCCATTAAATGGGAATTATTGATGTGAAACTTTGGAAGAAAGAAACCCCATTTCGTGCTTTTATTAGACCGAAAGCTCTCTGACCTGTAACTG